TCTCACGTGGCATAAAAAAATCTCAGTATCTCCTCTGCTGCATTGATTTTTTATAAACTGTCCATCATGAGTCTGACAATGTTAGAGGAGTGCACAGCTCAACAGGTGGAGTACTCTTTGAAGTAGTAACATACAAATACACAATGTGTGTGTCATTTGGGCCTGACAAATGTAGCATGTTTTTGTCCTGGACATGCTTGTTAAATAAAGTTTGTACATTTTTTAAAAAAAATGACCAACTCTAATATAAACTACACATTTGCATTACTCCTTCCTCACTTACTTACCAGTGTGCTCAGACCTACTGCAAGGAGTTTTTAACTGGTTATTAATTTAATACTGATGCCTCTGTGTGAGCTACAGAAACAAAAAAGACCATCAGTGAGAAGATTGGCTGTTTCTATATAGTTCTTCCTAAAGCCTGCCCCCAGATGACATAAGGTGGTGGAAACATTACTACTTTTGTCCACAGGGGCCGCCAGAATCAACACAAAATGAAAGTTCCTTGTAGAGGCTTTAAGCATGACATATGCCTACTGACAAAATAGGGAGCCACTCAGTAACACATTACTCCATATATGCAGCTGGGACAGCTGTGATTGATGCAGTCATCCACAAAGTATGTGTCCATCTGGTCCTAGTGGACGTGCATATTAACACTGGCCCTTTGCCCCCATTTGCACTTATCTGCCACTGTTCATCATGTATTCCCAAGTATTTTACCTGCCTGATAGCAGATGGACATCGTCAGGTGTCTGAATGGCAATTAAGATTTTAATCTGCAGTGTCACACAGAGGATGGTGGCGGTTGACACAGATTGTTTATGCTGTTGCAATGTAAGACGCAGATGCAAAGTGAGCAGCTATCACCCGCTATATCTGGTGTACGTGTGCCCGGACACAGCAGAAGATGTGATGACAATCTAGACTATAATGTGAGGAATGCCATCCAGTACAGGCATGCCAGCAAGGAATGTCAGGTCGTCTGGGACCATTTCTGCAAAAAAGATGATACACGGGTCATTTCTCAATGGAGACACTGACCACATATACTGTTAAATATACACACTTCTGTCTTTGAATGATTAGACTGCTGCTGCAGCTTGATGAAGCTCACCTTTGAACTCGGTGAGAAAACATCCAGGAATGCCCGCTATTTAAAACAGCTATGTAACTGTTTATTCACGAGGCTGTGAGCGAGGGCTTTAAAGTCATGACACTTGCTCTAAAATGACTGGAAAGTTACCCATTTATACAGCGGGACGTCTCCTTCTCTCCCTGACCAAGGCTGCTTCCTTCCTGCTGGTCCTGGCTGTTTGGTTATGGCTAGACTTCATGTTTTGGTATCAGCAGGCCGGTTTGGACCGGCGGTGCTGATAGGCCACTCTGTCCCCTGTCTGTCCCCGAGCAACTCTGGTCCCTGCAAACAAAACCAGGAAGAGGAGGAATGTACCAACACAGGCTTTTACTGTAATCACAGTCAGTCTGGACCGGAGCTGTACAACAGCAAGTGAAAACAAAAAAACAAAGTTGATGTGTCACAAAGTTTTATAATGCACAGATTATGTCATAACACATATCACAATATATTTTTGTACTATTCCCAGCAGCACAAGTTCAAACAACACCTAATCCAAGTGATGATGCCAATGCCTTCATGCTTTGTATCCTGTTATTGCACTAAAAGACTATATGCAAATTATTAGGGTGAGAGCAAAGAAAGTTATTAGAAAAGCATTATTTATATTTCACCATTGCCTTCAAAGATCCATTAAAAAAGGAATTAAATAGCTGCAAATGACAGTTCTAGTGTGCACAGTGGGTTGTACATCCTTCGCCATATGCAGAGAACAATAATGCTGTCTCAGTTTCAGGGATTTAGTTTTCCCATCACACTAAATGTTATCTCTACCAAATGTTGTTTCCTCCTCCACTTTCTTTGGCATCATAACAAGCAGTTTTAGAAAACAGATTAAAAGATAAAAATGTTATGGTTAAAGTTGGCCTGTATAACAATTCAAGTTCAGCCTCTTGTTTGCTCATTGGTGGCTATTGTTAAAATGATGATTTTAAGCTTTCACCATCTTAAATTCTTTATGATTTTCCTTTTTATCTGGGGATGATAATGTCAGTTGGTTGGTCCATTACTTTGGTCCAGACTAAAATAACTCAGCATAGACTGGATGGATGGCCATTACAATTTATACACACATTCACTGACCCCAGAAAATGAATCTTCATGTCTCTGGTCATCAGCTGATGCGCTTTTCTGACGTCACTAGCAAGTTAACATCTTTGGCTTTTCGTGAAATGTCTTGACTTCTATTGGATGGATTGTCTTCAGCTTTCCATCATCAGGTCAAAATAAACTGGTTTATGACCAGATACCAGCAAAACAATCCCATACAGCCTCAGCTGTACTTTGTGTTGAGTGCTAATTAGTCAATGTGAGCATGCTAGCATTTTAAACTAAGATGGTGAACATCGTAAACAGTATAACTCCATCATCAGCTGTTCGCATTGTCATTGTGAGCAAGAAGTCTTTAGCATTTAGCTCAAAGCACCACTGTGCCAAAGTACACCCTCACTCAGCCACTATGGCTCACTCTTAGTCTCAGTTAGTTATTAAAGGTGGAATGAGTTGTACCGACCCAGTACTACAATTTGAGATATTGGGGGGTTGCGGTTTTTCAAGTCAAAGGGTAGAACTAAATATCATTAATTCTGGGGAAGGTCTTGCAGTTTTAAAAACTGAAATATTTTGGCGGAACTAGTAAATGGAATAATCTTAACAAGACTACCGGATTAAATACAATTTATAAAATGTAAGATTTAATCCTGTTCTCCACCCTAGTCATTTTTGTACACTCCCTAAGTCAAATACTATAATTGCTAAATGCACAGTAAGCAATGAAACATGGTTTAAAGTGCCCTAACCCTTTATGAAAAACAACAGACAAGCGTCCAGTGACACTTTCACAAACAATTATAATCACGCAATTATGATTTACCATCAGCCAGCATGTCTTAGAGAAAAGAAATCTGCATAACAACATCAAATAAGGATTAATACAAAGCAAAACAATGCGACTGGTGTTATGACAACGGCATGATTAAGGTTGCAATCTCAACTCCCATCCAGCCCATATCAGTTCATGCTGTTGTTTTTCCTTTGTTTCTTTTCCTCTCCCGGTTCTCTCCCGTGCTAAAGGAATTTGGGAAGAATGCAGAAAAAGCATCCTGTTTTCATTCCGTGCTCTTAGTCAGCTATTCACACTCTGTGGCGCACGTTAGGGGGTCTGAGAGTTCTCACTGACGTCAGGGTAAATAATAAGGAAGTCACTATGAACTAATGGAGACACAGGTGCGTATTATCACTGCATTTCTGAGTTGTTGTTTTTTTTTTCATTTTAGCATCCTACAATACCTCCACTCCTAGAGCATACTCAAACTCAACCCTCAGTTTCACCAATAATAAAATACAAGCAAAAATCCTCATATTAACCTGTGATTGACTTTGAATTGTGCCAGTGCTTAACTTAAAAGGCCCAAACACATGACCTGTAACCTAGGACGTCCTGTAGATAATTGGGAGCCAAAAGTCTCCAACATCCTCTATAATAAACACTCACTGCTCACGTCCCTCCCGCAGAACAGCCTATCTAAAGTAAACATCAGCATATGGAGCAACAAGGGGACAGACCTCCTTCCATGTAGAGATAACCGCCACATGTTACATTACGAACAAAGAAATCCAATGTGTAGTAACCACATACTTCTCTTTATTTTGCTCTCTCTGCCCCACAGCAGGTTCACTGTGTACTTGTTCTAAAGCAAAACTTCAACAACACCTTATATTTTCTGCCCAATCAGGCAGGAGTGAAGGCCTTTTAATCCTTGAACCTTTTAGATAGGTGGTAGGTAACCTGTGGCTCTTTCGCCCTTCTCCTGTGGCTCCCTGTGGCTTTGACAAACAATTGTATGGAAATGAATGACGGTTCTTTTTTATTTTCATTTATCATTGTTGTAGGCCTAAAGTGATACTTACATTCTCCAAATAAGGTGCAACACACTCAACACCTATTAAAACATGACCGGGTGCTGAATCCTAAATGTGTCAACTAAAATGTGCATCATATGCTGGTGCCTTTTCCCTCTATAGTTTGTCGAACCTCAATAGTGGTGGCTACTAGTCTTGATTTTGAGCTATGGTTTCCAAATAAAAAAATGTATAGTCTCTGCAATGACCAATAATAAATTCAATTATAAACCAGTGACAAAGAAAGTGGAGAGATTAGCCAGAAGGATGAGACTGGACCATTTACATTTATTTGCCGTAAACAGTACCAACGGTACGTTACCTGTAACCTGTGTCCACTCAGCCTCTGACTGAACCGAAGCTAGTTCATTAAGCCACAGGATGCAGACTTTTTTTTTAATGAAACACTTTCAAGTGTTTGTACCAATTGGAATTTGCATCCAATAGCATCTTTCTGTTAACTGTCCAATGCAGTCACATCGCAACGGAAAATCACTTTGCATTCTGTCTGACCACACAGTAACGCTTTTTATAGTATGCATATATTTATGTTCTCTGGTGTCACAAAGAGCTCATGAGCATTATTAGACTCAAAAATGACTGTATGTTGTGAATAATGACACACATGCATGTGATTTGCATAAATATGATAATCTGTTGTAATGGGGTTTTGATGGTGGCCATCTGAGCACCTCATAATTATTTCTGCAATTGCAGAAATGATCATAAGACAAGTGAACAAAACCTCAAACAAACAGATATTTACCATCTCTTGAAAAGATTTCTTCTGTCACATTTATAGGACTTGCTGAAATATCTGAAAGAAAACGTGATCATGGAGGAACCTCCAACAATAGTGTCATATCAGTGTTGGATAAGTTCAAATAATTCTGTTTGCTACGAAGATCCAGTGAGTGACACAGCAATTGTCAAATAATGAAATCACCATTCTGCAAAAGAATGTTTTCTTGCATTTTTATTTTCTCATGCACAATTCAGTGCATCATTCATACAAATATAAATCCATTCCTGAATAAGTTATTGAATAAATAAATTGTTCCATTTACAATATCATTCAGCATTTAACAGTAAACGTCCAAGCTGGTAAACTGTCCATCAGATACAGCATTGAGATATTTGAGGAAGAATGTTCTTTAAGTGACAATGAAGGTTTATATTTGCATGTGTCCATGAGTCGACTACAATCAGACATGGTAGGGTAAACATAGATAAATAGCTTTTGAAGTGCATAACACAAGTTGAGAGTCATACTTTCCCAGTGACTAATTACAGAGGAATTAAGTGAACATTTGTTAGGGGAGAAAACAATTGTTGCATTTTTTGGCAAGCTGCACATCATTGAAACCTTCTGGCTTATCTTCAATCAAAACATTAAATAGGAGCTATGCAATAAACACTGCAGCCAACACAATAGGCCTAGTGTAGTTGTTATGCTAGCAGAAAGTATACTGTATATGTGTGTGTAGAGGAGACAATGGACCTTGTATAAAGCTAATTGTTTGTTAGATAAATCCCAAAGAAATGACCTTCATTTCACTATGAGGCAATGTGTGCCAAAAGCCAACAAGCTGCCAGATTCAAGTACTGCCTGATAATTAAAAAGCTATTTGCTAATTTGCCCTAAACATTAGCAGATTCCAGCTCTGATACAGAGGAAATAAAACTGAACCAAAGGTCAGCAATGACAGAATAGTTACAAAGAAATGCGAGTAAACATTGACAAACAATTCCTAAGTGAATACAGAGTTGATATGACTCTGAAATATGTAATGATCCTACAATCCTGTCATAGTGCATGTGAGTGGTGGATTTAAAACCATTCCGAACGAGTCACAGGCATGTGTCCATGGAAACCAAATAAGCACAGACGGGTGACTGATAAGTGTTTCTTGATGTGGTCGCCCAAAAGGGCAGACACCAGTTTCCGTGTGCTCAGCTTTAATTGATCCTTCCTTGACATGTGTAGACTGTTGCCAGGTTCAAAAAGTTCGAGAGTTCAAGAAAGGATTTTGTCTCCACCCAACATTGCTCCTGCCGTAGAGCTTCTGTCTTGGTGATCTGCCAGTCGTCTGAAGCTCTACTTTGTTGATTAAATACTTTATCCACTGCCTCTTTTGTCCTCCATCTTTCCACCTCCACATCCCCAGAGTTGGTAAGACTTTTGACACATGTCTAAACCCTGGTGCTGGCATTGAGGGCAGCTGGAGGAGTCTCCGGTCCATGGAGGTTGAATCCATGGTGATTGAACTGCTTCTGGTATTTGTTCAATCCACTATCTCCTTGTTCTGCTCCTCAGCCAGTTGACCCATCCTGGGTTCTTGTTTGATGACAGAATCTCTTTTGCGATCACCATGTTGGACTTGACCACAGATCTGAGGGAAAAACGAGAAGACAAACAGGTAAGAGATGCTTCATATGTCATAAAAACAACCAACACACAACACAATATGGATTTCAAAGTTCATCCTTAAAGTCTTCTTCATGTACCTGAATGATGCCAACAATTTGTTGCTGCTTTTGCTTGATTCTGTCTTTGGGCCCACGACAGTAGTCCTTGGATTCTCTGAGCTGTGGAAAGATAGAACAACAGTATTAAAACAAGCACATAAACCCGCCAGTGCCTCAGGGAATTAAACCCGTACAAGCTGAAGCTTTCATCTTGTATTATTACTCTACTTGAAGCAAAAGCAGTTCAGGTTCAACTAAGCAATTTCCTTGGAATTCCAAACTAATATAGCTTTAGTTGCCTTTTGGGCAGGAATGCAGGGCACACCTTGGAAAACACCACCTAGGATAACATCTAGAGATGGTGTCTAATCCATACTGGTGGTTTCATGACCACAACAAGTCAAAGACGCAACATGCATTCCCTTGAGCAAATTGTTCCAGAAATAGCAGCACTGCTATTAAACCATTGGTGATTTCTTTCAAGGCCTTCAAGGAAATGCAGGACATTCTCTGCACTATGACTACTACCCCTATACTACAGCAACATTATCACACACTGAATCATTTTGCCTCCTCTCTGACTCGTCCTCTACATCAACGTACTGTTCAGGCTCTTCACACATGACTGACACTGGGAGGAGACACAGAAGCGACTTTGATGCTATCTGCCAAAGGAAGGTATGTGATTGTTTTGCAGCAGGTCTAGGTAGATAGAAGGGTGGCGCTCACCTTTTACGGCAGAAACCCGAGCAGGTTTTATCGGCTGGGTTGAGGCATTCGCAACGGTCAGTTGAGCGGCGGCGGCGAGACAAGGGACTTCCAAGGCCATAAGGAAGGAGTTTACTGTAAAGGAAAACAAATTTTCTTAGGACAATGTTGTTGAAAGCATGTAGGAATCTGGGATTCTTCCGGTCTAAATGCAGCTTTCTGAGTATCCTGCAGCCTCACCTTGGCGTGTTGACCCAGATAATATCCAGGTGGCAGAAATAGATGCATTCTTTATCATCCCAGCTGTTACAGGAGCAGCGTTTGGTCCTGACGCGGTGTGGATGTGGAGCCTGAGCTGGCAGCTCTGCCCGGTCTGATAACGGGAGTCCACAACCTAGAAAAACACAAAGGATCCCGAGATTAAAAAGTGCCAACTAATGCTTTGCAGTATGACTGTGCAGTTAGTGAGTATCACAAGTAAATACAAGGAAATCCATATGGCGGGCTAACACCCACTGCTGTGGTTAAACAAATGTGATTGTGATTAATAGTGGAACATATTCATCATATTATAAATCAAGGAACTTAATCCAAGTCAAATAATCCTGCAAGTGGTTGTGTCAATAATGCTAAGAGATAATATTCTCTGGAAGGCTGAACCCACAGCTTGTATTGTACTTTCTGTGGTGACTGGCAGAGTCAAAAACATGAAATTATTTATTGCGCATCTCAATTATTTTGCTCAGCTAATGTTTGCGGTTGTTTGCTTTTTGGTAACATTATTTATTTTGGTAAACCTTAACCCTGGTCCTATCAACCTTATCTAAAGCAGTCAATAAACAACTGGTAATTCAATGCTGCCAAAAGGAATATATTATTAAAGAAGATTTTCTTTACAAAAATCTACAAAATTAGTCACAAATATGAAAAAAAAAAACTTAAAATCCACCAAACAAGTTACTCACCCTCTTGCAGAGCCATGCAGATGAAGAATAAAGTCAAAGTCTTGCACATGAAGGCAGCCATCATCATTCTGTGTCTGATGTTCTGATGTGTAAAAGCAGCAGTTTATGCACTCCAAGAGGTGTAGAAGAGTCTTGTGTGTGTTGGAGAGCAGCAACAGGTGCTTTGTGTTCACGCTCCTGCCAGGACATCTACTTTATACCCACACACTCATGATTGCCCCTCCTACATCTGTGCACTGGCCTGTCTATGCAGAACAGTGTTGTTACACAACACACACATACTCCACCTGCCTTCCTCGCATTCCAGCAGTGACCTTAACATACAGCAGTGTCAGCGCCCCCAGCAGGGCAAGAAGGGTAGGGAGATCAACAAATGCAGAGATTTTTACAGGTCGGAGATGTTGGATTAACAAATCAGAAGCTGTATTTGTTGATGGTATTCAGCAAAAAATGGACAGTTGTCAGATGGCTACAAATCATTTAGGTCATCATGTGACATCAAACCTAAACTAAGAATGTCTCAGACTGAGACAGAGACTGACATACCAAACTGGAAGTAGTGTGTGGTGTGCATTCACTGTCCTGAAAGTTGCAATTTGGACAGAGAAGACGAATGAATGAATGAAAATGAGGATTTCTGTGGCTTTACCCAGGTCGGTGAATGAGTGTGTGTTTCAGTCTGCCTGTATGTGTGAGGGCGAAGAGAGAAAAACAAAACAGTGTGAGACAAATTGCAGCAAGGGAAAAAACGAATGAGGTGACAGAAAATGAAGAGAAAAATAAATAGAGAATGAACTGGCCCATGAAAGAGAAAACATAAATGTGATTGTCTGTGGCTCAGTTAGCACTGTGAGTGGTCTCTACGTCAGCAAGCTTCTATAACCATACATTTATCAACATTTCTTTGTGCCACTCTCTGATGTGACTGGACCTTAGACATAAGTCTAGTCTAGACTGCTGAGTAATATCCCACTACATAGCAATGATTTCTTGAACAAAAAAAAAGCGTCTGATCTAAAGAGAGTTTGAATTTCACCTACAGACAGTCAGTCTGGCAGTGGGTCATACGGCCCACAGCGATCCTTCGCTGTAACAACTAATTACTATTTATTAATGATTAACGTCTGATAATTGGACTTGAAATATTGACATGCTGTAGCTGCAAGCTGAGACAACATGTAAACGGTATCACTTTCCTTTTTTAATTTTGCTGTATAAACACTTAATAAACCATTTATAACAGATTAAGTGTTAGCTCATGTATTTGTCAACAGTTCAGTTGGGGGGTAACAAAAGTAATACTGTAACTAATTACTTTTTGGTGGTAATTGTAATATTATTACTACATTTTATTAGTAATTAGTTACATTAAATGAATAATAATAATAATAATAATAATAATAATAATAATAATACTGTATTAGTAGAGTAAGAATAGAGTACTAACTGTTTACACACATACCAGTCACTCACAGGCAGGTCTAATACAGATTATAAAACTCTTCAACTGAAAAAGTTCTTCATGTTCTTTATTAAAACATATAAAAACAAATATTTCTGAAAATATGAAGACGTATTCTATATAATTACACTATATCATAACAAATACATTAAGTGTTTATTCAGAGGCTTAAAGAAATTATAACTACGAAATGTCCTTATCTGTCTTAATCATACTGTATTTACCATTAAGTCATTGTTTATATACAGCTTATAAATTCTAAATGGGAAATGGTTCATAGAATGACAGCAGGCAGAATAATAAGAATACTTTGTGGAGCCAGTGAGACTACAGTGCCAGCAGATGATTGTCACTCAGACAGGAGGCCATGTGAGGCCACACCGTGTGTTTTTCTCTCTCTCTTTTTTTTACCAGAGGCGTTGGGCATTCAGGATGAGGCCGGAGGCGGCAGAGGAAGAGATGAGCAGTCGCAGCAGGAACAGGGTTTGCATGTGCCACACAGCTGATACGAGCATGATGAAGTCAAGGAGAGCTGTCAGCACCCCCCGCAGGAAAGTGAGGTCATGGCACAACTGTCACACAAACAATCTTCATGAAGAGATATGCACCCCCCACACACACGCCACCATGCATACAGGGTACTGACACACACTGTCAGTCGGTTTACACTGCCTATCTCTTACCGGCGACAAAAACAGACATCATGGATACGACCGCAGCCTACACAGTCTTAACAGTTACAGTATGTCATGCAAACACCCTTCGGTATTCCTCGCTCTTATCAGCTATATACTGGATTATATCATTCAAATCAACAGGTATGTACAATCATAAGGAACCAATGAAGTATGTGCATCTGATAACAGGATGCCACAGGGACAGAATGGATGGATTAGGGTGAACTTGGACGCAGCGATGCAAAGAACAAAGAGACACATTATTTATAATACACAGATAATTCAGCATGTTTTTATTCTACTGACTTTAAAGGCTTCATATCAGGAGACTATAGTAAACTATATGTCATATACTATGTGCTGCATATTGTAGGCTTTATGGTGTATACTTCCTTTGTATAGAATTCACCTATTACCCACGTTTCTCTGGTCATTTAAACCTTTTAACTTTAATATACTATATCTGTTATCATTATTTGTTGTTTAAAAAAACCTATTGACAAATTTTCATTTTAAAACCTTTTCTATAACTCATCTACAAATATTTTTCTTTGTATTAAATACATCTTTAAAAAAACATTTTACTCTATGGCTTCCAAAGAGGACTCCTTACTACTAAATTACTTAGATTTAATATGAAACTGTTGTAACTTTGTCTTTTATTATTCAAAAAGATTTTAAATTGACACATTTGATACATGCGCAAGTCAAATTCCTTGTAAGAAGACACCTCCCTGATCAACTTAAGACATTTTTATTTCATTTATTTATGATCTATTTATTTAAACCCTGTCAGAATCTAAGTTTGTGTAAACTGTCTATCTGACGACAATGACTTTTGGAAGATTACAGAATAAAGTGCAATGAGCTCCATGCAGGAAATGTCTCTGGAAGTCAAGGAGTTTCTAGTAATTCTGAATGGGTTGGTTTTTCAGCCACATAGTACAAAAGAATACATTTATTTCACATGTACATTACCATAAATGGTTGCAAGTCAAACTGAAGCCTGACCAAAAAGAAAAAACAAAGCAATTGGAAACAGGAAGGGGTATAACTGTTTAGGTTACTGAAGACTTTCAACTGGAAAATCTTGCAAATGTGAGGAATTTTACATCACAGCTCCAGTGAAAACCCCAGATTATAGACAGAGACACCTACAGGAACAGGAAAAAACACTTCTGAACCATGCATATCTGTGTGTGGTCACAGTTTATGGGGGTTAAGGGGTGGGGGAAATGCCAAAAGGATGTCACAATGCAGAAAGATTGGCATTTGACCAACTATTTGTTACAGTGAAGAAGAAGAAAAAAAAACCTAGAGCAAATATTTGTCCAGTGGTGCAGACTGGAGGAATGGGCTCAATCTAAAGGTACCCCCACCTCCTCATTTCCCCTTCCCCTTGTCCCTTTCCCCTGCTGCTCTCTCCAGACAAGGCAGCAGAGAAACACAGTGACTCTGCAGTCGCAGTGTAAAAAATGTGCCCTTATCTATTTCCCACTTCCTGCCGCTGCTGGAGGGCGACAGAGGAATGTGAGGCGGCGCGATGACAAACAAGTAACGGAGCCACGATTGCAGAATCCTTTGAAATTCCTCGAGGATGAGATTAAACGTATGGGCTGTGACACAATAACACACAAAGTCCTCACATTCAGCACGCAGTGAAAAAGTTAAAAAGAGGTTTATGTCGTTGGAAATTCAGAAATTATGACATGAAACAGCAAAATATCTGCTGACTGTGTAAAGTCCAGGTGAAAGGAAAAATGTCAGTGTGACCCTTTAAAATCTTTACATTTTTATATCAAAATCCAATCATTTTTTTCTTCACGTAAAACAAAATATGACGCATGCTTACGTATGTATGAACTCATTTAACCCAATAATATGACATTCAACTGTCAATCAATGTTTAACTTTCATTAGTTAGCTATCTAGCACCAGCATGGCTGGCTACCGGAGCAGAGTGTTTCTGGAGGGCTGGGTCTCTCTGATACTGTACAAAGACATTATCAGCACTTTATCAGTGGTTTGGGTATAACTGGGTCAAATGTATGGTCCTATGTTCCCCGGGTCCTATGTTCCCGGGTCCTATGTTCCCCGGGTCCTATATCCCCCAGGTCCTATGTTCCTGGGTCCTATGTTCCCTGGGTCCTATGTTCCCCGCTGAGGTTAGGGTTAGGGTTAGGTTTTAGAGGGAAGATTTTTAAACGGGCATGGGCAAGCAGCCACTTAGTGTTTAATCCCTTTCTCCTTTTATGTTTCAGTTACACCTTGGTGGTGTATGCTTTTATAGTCCAGGTTACCATTGCTGGTATCCTGGACCTTTAATATTTTCTTTTCTCTCCATTATTTCTTTAAAGCCTCTGTAATTTGATTTGAGAAGGGACATACAGTCCCATACAAAGCGGGGAACATAGGTACGCTCCCCTATTTGAAAATACAAACAATAAAGCATAAATCTTACACCAGCTGGCTGTACACAGTTTGTATGTATTGAACTGCTCCAGATCTGTAACAGTGTAGAAGTTGCTAAGCTAGCTAGGTTCTCCTCCAGGAAAAGGTTGTTTTCATTCTGCCAGCATGTGTGCATGCATAAAGGGGGGCTGGGTTAGGCAATCTTTAACTACATGTTCTACAAGATAAGCAGGGCTCACTCATCTTGGCTTTGATTTAAATCATTGCCAACATCAGTAACATAACTGAAGAATGCCAACATGTCACTGTTCTTCCTTAATAGGTCAAAAAATGTGAAGACAGGAAGCAAACATGGCAATTATTGAGGGAAGAAAAGAGCAAGTAACGGTGACTCACACACACCCTGATGTGAGTGAGGTGAAGAATATGGGCCATACCCTTGAACAGTAAGAGTACTCAGACCGAAACTACAAAAATAACCACACCAACACGATGGCCAACCAGTCGGATACATACCAGATAGACCAATACATGCAAGAACATCAGTGATACAAGCTCTGAGTCATGTGAGGTGTTTCTTCTTAGATATGATGACTAAGATGTTATATGGTATCATTCATCTCCTATAGCAGTGTTTCTCACACCTTTTTCACCATGTACCACCTCAGAGGACATCAGGCCCCTTTATGTACCACCGTTATGACCAATATTAAAGTACAGTAGTCCGACCCTATTCAGCTACAGACAGTTCACGCAGGTGCATTTGGTGGAAAAAGGGGAAAAACTCCCGGTAGCCGTTATGTATAAATTACCTGTGTTGTGTTTAGATGTACTTGCTGTGTTTAAATGTCTATCCTGTGTTAATGTTGTGTGTAAACGTGTATGTACAGACAATAAAGAATCTATCTATCTAACCCATGGCCTTCAAGGAATAGAGCTTAGGTGTCAGGGGTTATGATCCCCCCCATAAATGACCACTATGTGACCTAAATATGGCATTTCAGCTGCGTGAGGACAATCGAGCTAGATCCATTCCCCGAATGAAGACTGTGTGTTACGGTCAAAAGCTCAGGAAAAAGGGAATCCTTGAGTTCCAAATATTTTATTACAGAACACACACTGTGCAGGATGGTGCCTGTCTCATTTTCTTTACATTCCTCACTAGACATAATACCATACTACTATATAAAAGCTACAAATTTAATTTAAATGTTACATTTTGTTTTCAACTGTATCAAAATACATTGATAACAGAAAAACAAAACAGTGGGAGATTGATGATGAGGAATCTGCATGCATACTTTAAATGAAACAGGACAAAGCTTCCTTCCATCCATCTCTATTTAACTCTACTGTAAGAGCTTTAATATTTTAATGAACTCATCATGTTTAAATGGCAACCATGGGGGCTTAATGTCATTACTGCAAATGGAAAATGATGCATCATTTAGTAACGGAGAAATTAAGTTGAGAAAAGTGGAAAACAAACATCAGAGAGATTTGTTTTCAGTGGAGGATTTGTTTAGGGTCTCCACTTTGAAATGAAATGAACCTATGATGACATAAATCCTGTTCCTGCACTGCAGAGAAAAGGAAGGGGGAATCAAACCAAGTCTTTTATGTTCATCCTCTCTAGTTTTTTTTGTTTTAATTAAATGTAATCTTTGAGCCTACTTACTTACATGTTATTATTGAGATGAAAATAACAATATAAAGCATGTTCACATAATCTGGTCTTTAATAAACTCAGTTTTGCTGACATATAAAAGTCAAGGCCAAAGATATTTCTTGTTATTGACCTGTGCTTTCACACTGCATATTCTTGGCTCAAGAGTTGACCCTGGAATAACTTAGCCCCTTTTCACACACACACTTTTAACCATATCGTATAGTATTATACGATTCACACTGTACTTCTACTAGCCCTGAGTTAAATGTCCGTTGAACCATGCGACTCATTTTTACATTTCTGTTCACATTCTGTTTATTTTAGCCCTGTTTCACACTGGCACCTTTTAGCCCAATATTTAGGCTCGGGGCTGACCCTGCTGCAGAGCTGGGCCAGCAAGTCCTAGTCCAAAGTCGGGGTTAGAATGTGCCACTGAGAAAGCTTTCTTATTGTGCAGTGTGAAAAGCCCTCATGACACTGTTGGGCCATTTGGCTGATTCAAATCTCCTTTTTGGTGTCCATTCGCGACAGGAATCCCCCTTTCAACGATGGTTTCATTTTGCACACAGAGGAAAAAATCCCCCTTGAAATGTTTCCCATCCTAATTTGTCATATTGTTTAGATCTCCTCTACCTGTGAATTCTATCGCAGCACTCCTCCTTTGGAAATGTCACAAAAGTTCATTTGTTTGTTCTAATCGCATTGTCATTGTGGAGATGACACACAATTCCAAGGTAATCGTTGGCTCTTGTTATTTCTGTTGCTGTGGACTGGCATTTGTTCAGTTCCACCACCTTCGTCATGGACACTGGTCTGTAGAGTCCCAAAAAAGGGGGGAATGATCATAGTGAAGTTAATCATAGGTCTAAATATGAAAACATTTCTCCACACCTCTGTAGACCCCCCCCCGGTTGTGTGTGTGTGTGTGTGTGTGTGTGTGTGTGTGTGATTTCCTGGATGATTTATTACAGGAGAGGCTTTCAGTATATGGGCCACTACCTCCAGTGTGTGATGTCATTCCTTTCCATACGGCAGCTTGAGCCAAGATTAAAGTTGCTTACTGCTGCCACCCAGTGGTTACATTTGACTTCTTCAGCTGTGGGAAACAAAGACGAGCTGCCTTCATGACCACATGAGGAGGAACGGGAACATCACTGTCAAAGACTACAAAATAAAAAAATAAAACAAATGAAATAAAGGGCGGCCATAAAACAGATTCTCAGGAAAATGAGTGTTCCACTCTGAGCAGTGGAGTTTAAGAATCAGGAACAATCTCACCGTATTGCCACAGGGTGGTGCCACAGTCATCAACACAGTGTCTGCTCATCCCTTTCTCTATTCTTTTATCTACCTGGAACTGAATTGTAAAGAAAAGCAAAAAGAAAGAAAACTGATTGTATATTACACCATTAACCCTGATGTTACAGTGGACAGGCACTGAAGTGTGAGCTGTTACTATATGCTGGATAAGACCACAAAGGTATGTTATATATTTAAAGTCTTTAAATGTTCAATTCAACCTAATAAAAAAATGACCTCCACTGTGGAATCTTTTAATTTGTAGACTAGCAAATAAAACATTAGAAAATAAGACAAAATCTACCCGCGCGGCGAGATACAACTATGGGGTTAAAAAATATACAAAATAGAAAATAGAAAAAGGTTTTGAGATTTGAGTGACCTGACCCTTTAAATACAAATGACATACTTTACACTCCTAATCATTTTCTTCTTCAGGTTTTCCTGCCTCCCAAGCAGCCACTGATTCCCATCCATTTCCACAAATCAATTAGCATTTGAAAAAAAAAACGTATGTTTCCCTGGAAAAGAAGGCTAATAAGACCACACGCGTAACACAGTTTTAATATAAATCTGTAAAAATGAGAAGTTTAATGGTAAACATGAAAATGACAAAGTGATTGTATCATTTATAAAAGCAACAACACAAAAATACATGTATCTGTTTATGAAAAAAACTGCACCGTAGCTACCATGTACGTGAAACAGGTTTCCTCTGGATATCAAATTATTTGTCAGTGCACTCCAAATGTCTTGATCTGAAACTTCTTTTCCTAAAGACATTAGAAAAGGAGGTGATCGTAACCCTGCTTCTTTGAACACAAACAAAGACGACAAGAACAACAACAAAAAGAAACTGACAAATAATAATAATCACAGCCTTTTAAGAATGACATTTCAAACCACGATCTCGACATAAAATTGCACTTCAAAATACTGGTCGGGGTGAATAAATATTTGTAGTACCTTTCTATATCCATTTTGGTAATACAGTACATTAACACAGCAATAGTATATTAGAGCTGTCAAAGGGGTTAATAGGGAAACTGATTAAAACTTTGTCTATTTTCATTCCAGCTGCTTTTGCATATAGTACAGAATTTGCATAATAGCACATAAATAAATTAACACCGATGACATCAAACAAGAGGGTAAAAAAAGATTTACAAAACATACTGCATATCTAACATAGTGTCTATATATATTATTCATATAATTACATAATAGCGTCATTCAGAAGCGGTGCTGAAGTGCTCTTGCCTTTTGTCCCCGGTCTCCAAACCAGTGCTGTGTTTTTACAACAGACTGCTTTGTAGACTTTTGCACTGTCCCAGACTGTCAGACTCTCCCTCCTATCAGAGTTGTGTCTGGGAGGAAGGAGCCTTTTTTTGGCCTTGGGTGGTCTCGGGGTAAACACACCTTTCTGTGACTCTCTGTGCATCTGTGTTTACCTCAGGACGCCAAGTCTCCGTCCCGGGACTCGACGGTTGCTGTATGCCGAAGCACCCTCGATTCTTTCTGCGCAACAGGGCGTCCGATGGGCTGCTCCCGGACGCTCCCCCTAACGCCTCGGGGTCCGGCGGGCTGGCTGGACTGCGGGGCGACGTCTCTTTGAGAGTATCCTGGCGCTGCAGCAGAGAAAGCCTCCCCTTTGGAGCGTCACTCAGTCTCCAGGATGTCCCTGCGGGGTTAGTCGTGGCTGGCGCGGGGCTGCTCACCAGGCTGTACAGAGGGAGCAGGGACCTGGGCTGAATCATGTGAATCCCCCCGATGGGAATCAGGAGGCTCGGGGCCCTGCCTGACTGCTGGGAGTGCAGAGGGAGGTGACTCAGGAGGTTGTGGGCTCCCCGAGGCCGCGTGGGATGTGGGGTCAGACCAACATCATCCATGGACTGCAACAAAACAAGATGAAATGAAACTTGAATGTTCTGCTGACACTAGGTCCCTAACAATATAGAGCTGGATATGATCACAATAGGTCCCCTTTCATTTCCTGTGATTTAGTGGTTACAGGTGCAACAAAGACCACAGACTCTGAATGGGCGGGGCAACTGTCAATCATTTGTCAATCATTTTAATTTGATCAATCAGAGGCTTACAATCCTCTGTGAGTCCGTCTGTCAGAGGTGAAACAAGCGGAGGTAAGTGAGACACTGCTTTTTCAGCCTGCAGTTACGTTCCTCTTTAAAGACATCATTATAAGACCACCTGCCTGAGAGCGAGGGGAATGGAAAACAACAAACACCTCTCCTGGTGAGGCACTGAGGTTGAGTCCAACACTTGCAGGCTCACTGAATTAACAGGCGCATTCCTGGGAAGAGCCGAGGGCTCTGTCCAAATCCACAGAGACTGCTGAGGATGCAAACTCCACCAGACTTTGCTCCAAAGACTAACCATACTTCATAGTAATATAGAGGTGGCAATGTAAAAGAAAAGGAAAGAAAGCAGAAAAACTAGTCCACCTATGCAAACACAATTCATATAATATGTATAGCTTAAAGTCCAAATGTGTGTACCATGGTTTTTTTTGTAATGCCTTTATGAATTTGTGTATTATAATCTGCAGGAAAGGGTTGATGAAAAAAAAGGATGTCCAGAGAATGTAATGATTCGCAGTTGAGGATTTCCTCTGAATAACAGTTTAATACTGCGTATATATATCGACCTTTATCTTTTCATGTCCATGGAAACAATTAAAGAAGTCCTACGTTAGAGAGAAGGGACAAAGTAGTGAGATAGTTTGCTAACATCAGCTAACATTAGCCACCATAACCAGACCAAGTAAGACTGCAGCAGTGTACTGAACTGAGCCAGGGTGCATGTTATATCATAAAAGAGGAAAAGGGTATAAAAGATTGTGTTATTTCTTATTTCAAGTACATAGTCTCGCTTTAAATATGACAAATAGTAATTCCAACATGCTTTTGGTATTTTACGGCAAAAAAAGAGTTAGAGCCCTGATACTGAATGTATAAAGTCAAAACCGATATAAAACTGATATTGATCATTTGGGAGAGGTTTCTAACAAGTATTGGTTATTAAAGGAATGTGACCAAGGATACTGGATGGGAGATTTTACAGTTGAAATAAACTTGTCAGTGCTCTCTGGTGGCCAAACTTTGTAATGTTTCTAAATTTCCTCAAACATATCCTTGGCATTTTTGCACTGCAATACCGTACTGCCAATGGTACATATGTGAAGATACTGATACATCTATGATAAGCTAATGTGGGCTAATACCGCTCTAGTATAACTGACAGTATCAGAATGCAAAATAATATTGAAACATAATCAAATTTGTAAAAATATGTGCGGTACTATTTAAAACATGTATTCAGGTCTACAGAAGTTCATATATGTACACATCAAATATTTAGGCACATAAAAATGGCTCCACTCACCAACGTTTCCAGCTGTAGCTAACATGTGAACAGAAATGTCTGTGAGTGCAGATGTGAAAAACAACCCTGTAGAGAACGTGAATTAGTATCTGCTCCTATGAGACCTATATTAGTGTGAGGAGGAAGCGGTGAGGTTACACCATAACATAACCACAAGTTTGGAGTAGACATGTTTTTTTTTGTTTTTTTTTTATTAGGGTGAACTGAGATATTCACCCACGTTGTTTACGTCGCCGACATGTGGTAACAATCTTCGGTATTTAACGATCGGCCTGCTTCTCATTTTATCAGCGGCTGCCCAGGGAAAACATGTTGTGTCTATTTGGGAGCTCTCCTGCATTATTTTAAGGCATCGGAGCTGCAGGCTTGGTTTGAGTGATATAAAACAAGAGAGTTGCCTTTCCTTCCTTTTCCAATAAATGTGCGACTTTAAAATAACCTCATATGTACCAGCCTATCTATATTTGTTCTAGATGTTGACTTACTGGGATTTAACTGAGCCACACAAGATTAGCCTTGTGAGCCAAAAGCTGATTTATTTAAAACTGTAGGCTAAACTAACAGAGATGGATCAAGTCACAGGTGAGTGAAGACTGCGGTTTGAACAAAAGCCACGTTTTGGCCAGCGTTAATTATACATAGGACAAAAACGGAACATTGTGACAGATTCAGATTGAGATAAAAACAATGGCTGGGTTAGGTTACAAGTAGAAAACTTATGAAAATGTGAAAAGATGTTATGTCACCATGTTTTTTTTTTGAACTCACCAGTCTTGCTGTAGAAGGTCGGTCTCTTGGGTGACACTGAGAAGAAGTGTCCGCCAAGGAGCCTGGAGGCCCAGAGGACTCAGATCCATGGGACTGGACTATTCTAGGAGAAAGACCTCTAACAGGGGAGACTGGTCTCAGGGCGGAGGTTGAGACATGGCAACTGGATGGCGAGAGAGAGGAAGGGGGAGCAGGGGACTGGTGAGGCCTGGGTGATGGGCTGCGAGGTGGAGACGGCTCCCTCTGTGGAATCAGGGATGGGGCACTTGGAGAATGGGAGCCTCCGGAGGACGCCGAAGCTGAAGCGTCAAGGCGTCGGCGGGCAAACAGGGCCCTCCTGGTGCTGGCCGAGCTCTTCTGGGTAGAATCCTTGGAGGGAAGCGGGGCAGACTGGCTGGGTTCAGGCTCCATCGGCTGCCCTCCTGGATGAGATGTCTCGCTGTCAGAGGAGGTGGTGTGAGAGCTTTCAGCCGCCTTGGATCGGTCTTCATCACATCTGCCATCCTTGTCCTTTGCATTGGCACCCTCATCATGTCCACCCTTCCCCAGATCAGAGTACCGATGATCTTTTCGTTTATGAAATGAAGGTTCTTCACAGACTCCTAGAACAGAAAATTCACTTTTCAACACATTTGACTTTGTTATAGCCAACTGTAGCAGGCTGTTATTGGGCAGGCGTCTCTTGTGCATACAACAGATTTCTACCACGTCAAGCATAATATTTTGGTATAATTCTCTGTATTTTTAATGAAATGTCACATGGGTTATTTGAAGGAGCTATATGTAAGAATTGACCACCAATCGAATTCATACTCCAAACAAATTGGGGGCATCGTATCACCAGAAAGTTAAGTTGCCGTTAGCTATTTAGCTTAGTTAGCTCAGTTAGCTGTGCAGCTAGCGGTCCTATTAGTTGACTCTTCCCAGACTGGGAGCTCGGAGAACTGAGAGAGTGTCGGTTTTATACCACTAAGACAGGGGCTTTGGAGTGCTGGGAGGAGGAGGCTTTCAGGTCTGGCGTAGGAGGGAACCTAACAGGGAATGCTGATGGGATCTGGCGGCAAAATGGGCACCAGAACCGGAGAACGGAGAGCGGACAACGGAGCAGTAGACATGGCCGGACAGCCTCCAAGACCGACGGAGGCCAGTTTGACGACAGGGAATAGAGTACCGAGGTGATTTACCGCGGCTCCGACCAGGACTGTCACCGGGAACGAGAGGAGCGAGATGGAGGTCGGGTATCAGTCAGCGCCCACCTCCAGAGGCCTAAGCAGGGGTGGCGGCAGGGCAGCCCCGGGGTGCCAGGAATCAAACCTGGCAAGAAAACCACTTCAGTGTTGATGGACTGAGGGAAGACTAGACTCTACAGTGACTTACTATTTCCTCTTTAGGTACAAAGTGGTATTACAATACATAATGGACCGGGGCTAGCTGGTTAGCATGCTAACTTCAGTAGATATCTCTGCAACACAATACATAATACGTCTTTGACTTAACGTCAGAACTGTTTTTTCCTTTTTTCATTTTTAAATGTTTCAAACTAAAATTCTTACAAATAGCTCCTTTAAGTCATAACTTTCCTAACTGCACCCATTTGTACGGATGTTCAGGAATAATGTGAAAGTGTATAGGCATGAATGGGCTGTGTTGTGACCAGTACATTTTTTCCCTGGGTGTAACGTATAAGAGCCTCTCCCTTGTTTTTTCGTGGCAAACCTTCTCCCACATATCTTCCATCTTGTACGCCCAAGATCTTGATATGCTGCTGACCAATGTTTACACTTCTCTTCAAACAAATGTGAAATGTTGAAGCTCGATCAAAGTGACAGAGTATATAAGCCGACAGGATTAGTGCACTGTTTGAGGCTATTGGTCATTTCAATGTGTTGAAGGAAGGAAAATCACGTGGCTCGGGTTACAGCAGTGGATAGAATTGTGGGTAGTCTCCATTAAAAGCAGTGTTGGGCATCTTAACAACTTAATGCACTCTGTCTAGCTTACAGCTAGCACACTGTGTGTTGCAGCAGTACATTAGCTTGATGTTTCTATGGTGAACATTTTAAGAGTTCTGATGCTAACGTATTAGCCAGATGATGCAGGTTATTAAGTTGTTTCATTCTTTACAAACAACCACTAAATGATGCATTTTTAATTAGTTTGTCTGGAAGTTGATTGAACATGAATGAAAAAACTTTTTCATCACAATTACTAAAATGTTCAATGTGCTGGAGCTGGACGTTAGCTATGTACAGCTAGTTAGCTATGTAGCCTGCAAACATTTTCCCTCAGTGGATACTGGCTTTGTTGCTCAATCAACAAACCAAGGTGCAACACAAGACAAGTCCATTTGGGATGAGCGAGTACAACATTATTTGTATCTGTGTCCGTACTCGGAATGGGTGGTGCTTATGCTGGATGTGGGTCTGGCTTCCGGAAGTTGTTCATTTAAGCCTGAAATTGGTATGGGTTGATCAGAAATGGCTATATTTATTAGAAGACTATTTACAGAACAGCCTCAGAATTGAGTTTCAGGGCAATTTTTTGAACACCAGAATAAGAGAACTATTTACAGAACAGAAGTTTTTTATATAAAAGCCGCTATATTTAGTTTAGATATTGACATATTTTACTCTGATAATACTCATACATTAAAAGTACATTATCTATACCAGATACTCGTTTCAGCCAAGTACTCCATCAACTCTAGAGTCCATGCTCATAGATAAGGAGATATTAACCAGAAAGCTGTAACAACTGTTAATATGAATCACCTAAAAATAAGGGGTGGGTGAGGTGAGGGGTATTCAATTGGTTGGAATCTGCAAACCTCACCGCTAGATGCCACTAAATCCTACGCACTGGTCCTTTAAGTTCAGTGACCTTTATAATGTTCTTAGCATAAATATGGCAGAAAATACTGGTTATCAGTACATTAAATTCAAAAATATTATCACTGGCACTTCAGTATGAAAACACACTCATAAAAATGTGTACCATAGTGTACCTTCATTTGTGCCATCTGGGTAACAACAGATTTCTTTTCCATGTGCCTTAGATCTCAGGTGCCCAGCGAGTATTCCTGTAAAATACAAAAAAAAGGGGGAGCTCATACTGGATGCACGGACATCACAAACTTTAAAAGAATAAAACATTTTTTGGTCTATCCTTACCCTTGGCTTTGACGGAAACGTTACAATGCTTGCAGGTATATGGTGGCGATTCTGTGATGCAATGGGTGCAGGTGTGCAGGATACTGGTATTCTTAAGGTGGAATCCACAATCCTCACATTGGCACTTCCCTCCACTTCCACCGCACGTGATTGCATACTTCTCATTTGATCTGTAGGTGTGAGGAGAGCAAGAGGTTTCAGTTTCATCCTCAGAGCCTTTCCCTGTCACTTGTCTATTGATGCTGCTCCTCTCAGGATGATGGTCACAATCAATATGAGTGTAACTGGAGCTGACAGACGGGCTGCGGGCCCTTTAGCACCTGTAAGCAGCTTTTTAGTGCCTGTATTTATCCAGTGTAAGTACGCTATCTGTTTGGCCTCTACTACACAGTGAGCTCACACTGTGGCAGCTGGGTCCGGGGTCCACCCCTCCATGTACACTGAGGGTCCCTCAGCGAGGCACCCACTTCACCTTCAACAGAGCAGCTTTCATAAGCCAAAACCAGACCCCCCTCCATCCCTCCCACTGCCTTATAACCCCATCACAGCTCACACCACCACTGAGTGCAAACAAGGGGGAGCCTACGATGTGGCCCAAGGTCCGGGGTTTACTGCAGCCTGCCAATAAAAACAGGCCAGAGAGGGAGGGAAACCCTGGCCCAGACCAGCTGCTGCTCCAAATAAGCATGAAAAAACACAGAAAATGAAAACACATTCCTACGACAAATAATCCTGTTTTTTCTTCTATTTTCACTGCAGGCTTCACGGCTGGATAAACTGGGCAAGTATCATAAACGGTGGCTTTTACAGTCTCGAAAAACTTTCGAGTTAATGAAAGAGGAACACTTTGCCGTCATGCCGGGACACTATACCCCTACACCGGAAAGCAGCTATATTCAAAGGATTTTCATGCAGCACATTTTCACACCCAAAATCTGAGTCCAGGTCTCCTTTTCCTTGGCCAACAAGGAAAAATGGCAGTGTTCGACTACGTTGCTGCCTCAGTTTCGTCTTTTTGTCCCTCAGACAGACTGATCAGACAGAGAAGGAGAGAGCGAGCAGGCGTGAGGATGACTCACTCTTTTAGGAAGGCTGTGAGCGTCAACATGAGTCACAACAGGGATTTGTTCACAGACACACTCCCAAACCAAAAAGAGACACACAGATGGCACCTCTCTGCACTCTGCTGCGTCGCAGCACTGTTTATTTCTGATGGGTAACAGAACTACTGAGCGTGTCTAGTTTAACCTTGCTGCAGATTCATGTGAGAAGATGCTTCAATACAGACAAATAAGAGGACTATGTCACAACTTCCATGTCTGCAGACTGTATTCGTCATTGCTGTTCTTGTTATCTTTTTAATGTATTGAATTTCTCCGTTCTGATCTCTAACTAAAGTACCATTTACAGTTCACATCAAATTCAAATAACAAACAAGGGATAATACACCACAAGGTGTCTCTTATTTTTATTAGGACATTATGTGTTATTATGCTGATTAGTTTGGCACTGACAAAAAGGATAATATAAATCATTTTTCAAGCTGTTCAGAGTTAGTTTTACACATCATTAGGTTCATTTGAGTGAGAGTTATCTGAAAATGTAGCATTAAGGAGAAGAACGGTTGCTACGGTTACTCACATTTTAACATACCATTTAATATACTTTGCATTGCAAAGATTTAGAACAGTGGTTAAACTGTAAGTTTGCTTGAGGTGTCCTGTTTGTTTTTTATATATGTTTTGGGGGCTTTTTCCCTTTATTGATAGGACAGCTAAAGATAGACAGGAAGGGAAGAGAGAGAGGGGATGAGACGCAGCAGAGGCCCACAAGGCAGACTCAGACCCATCGCTGCTGCAGCAAGGACTCAGCCCTTGTCCAAGGGGCACCAGCTCTGCCAGGTGAGCTACCTGTCCATTGATAGTAAGATGCATTTCGTCCAGACATTACATTTTATAAATATTTATGTTTTTAAAGAAATGGCTTTATACACACTATCAAAATATAGGTCAGTCTGAACAGTCAGGTGCCCATATGGACATTTAAAAAGGTTTTGCTTTCAGTAATCATTCCTCCTGCTCATACTAATATGAGGCTTAAGAAGTGTGACAAATCACATCATAGATATCCAATATATCCAAAGTTGCAGTCTTTTTAGTATAAAATTCCCTCTTACGGAATTCACTGACAGTTGAGCTGCAGTAGAGGGATATTAATTAACAAAAAGAGGGGTTTTGGACTGAAAAGACATTTGGAAGATACACATTTTTCTTTTTGTCCGTTTTCCAGCCCAACTGCATTCAGTATGGCAAGCTCTCTTTAATGACTAATGCACTGTCTGTACATGCGCCTACTGTATATTTTCTGCTCATTCCATTGACGTCAGTGTAAGGGAATGAAACGTGATTCCACTCCATGTGAATGGCTGTGATGGTTGGTGTAAATGAATCTCTGCAGGCGCAAAGGAAGCAAGGTAGTTTCCTGGCTTCAGCCCCTCAACAGACGGGCTCTGTTGGTGCAGACAGCCAACCCTTGGCCTCTTCAACATGGTGGACAGACAACAGTTTCCACAACATACCACAATATGTGACGCAAGCCCTCAACACTGTAAGTAATGAGATGCATCAGATTTAACACTAAATATGTACAATATGTCATGTAGATACTCTTATGCTGAGCTGTCATAAGATCATACTCACCCACTCTCAGAGATCCAAACTTCGGAAGGTTGTTTATTGATGGAGCATGACTGTACTTCCTCCTCCTTCTTCTCCTCTTCCTCCTTCTCCTCTCTTCGGTTTGACCTGTTGTCATCTGCTGACTGCTGTCCCTTCCTTGTTTCCTCATGGTCTCTGCAGTATAACTGGCTGATGTAGACCTATACTCGAAAGAGACATGGGCAAATTCACCAACTCTGCTCCAGCATGCCCAGGGAGACAAGAATTGGGAATTCTCATTGAACGTTGTGTTTAATAGCATTTGTTAGAGCACATATACATTTTTTTCGTTTTGCCGTCATTGTGAAGATATTGATACTCAGGTCTTTATCATTTAGTGCTGGATAGTTAGCAAAGTATTATTTCCTGCCCTTTTAGGGTTGAGGCTACCATAGGAATTACAAAGATATAATCTGGCAAAGCTAACCCACCCATTGCTGCACCTTCTGTACTTTCCTAGAATCAGAATCAGAATCAGAATGCTAAATCCAGGATGCTAAAACATATGCTAACCTACCGAGAATCTAAACCATGCCAGGAAGACCCCTGAATCAATTTAACCTAACATCTCTCGCAGACTTCCGTGTCCTTCTTCATTTTGATCAGTCTAATAAATGTGAAAATTTCCAGAAATTCTCTTGGGGTTGTCATTTTACTTTGTGCTATCGTACAGATTTCCTTACAACTGTTATCAGTGTTAGAGTTGTAATTACCTCAGTGGAGCATGGTCTTTTGTTTTCCTCTTGCTCCATTGACTCAGCTGTCCTGACTGACATTTGGGATGTGGTGTAGATGGAGGGACTGAGCCTCTGCTTACAGTGCAGCAGAGACAGAGCAGTCTTGCTGGAGAGGCCGGGTGGGTTGGGGTCATAGCCGCTAGTCGACCACGATGAATACACAGAGGGCTTCTGTTCATCCAGAGTAGAAGGGTTTGGTTTAATGTAGTTCAAATAGCACCAGCTGTTACAGGTGCCGGACAGCAAACTGGGAAATGATGGCCCAACATGTGTGATGGGAGTACAAACGCTGGGCAGACATGACTGATTCTCCCCTTTGAGTTCCTGATTGCACGTGTCCACTGCTGCCTTGTCAGCACATCCCCCCTCCCTCTCCTCTTCTTCTTTTACTCGTTTCTGCTGTTGCTGAGACTCAGGGAGGATCTCTATACTGTTTGAGGGGGAAAGCATCCGCTTGTTGCCCCCTGAGCCTGATATCCTCAGGCCATCGTCGGACCACAAGTCATGGTCTGGACTCGTGTTCCTATGGTCTCTGTAACCAGCTGCTGGGTTACCTACGTTGTGTGGAAAAGTATCAACCTTCTCCTGGGGCTGGGGGGAGGTGGACTGAGACAATGTGGTGTATATGGCACATGCTAGGGTGAGGGTGTCTGTTTGGAGACGCACTGCTACTGCTGGAGATGTGACTGGTCTCAGTAATTCCAGACTGGAAGTGATGTGAGGGACAGAGTGCTGGATGTGGGAGTGACTTACTCGAACCTCTGAATGATCATCATGTAGTAAAGGAATCTCTAGCTTCAGCCCTGTAGACATAGGGAGGTAGCGAGCTCTGGCTGCCCCGGATGGTCCATGTGTAGGATAGGGTTGTGGTGCTTGAGGAGGTGGCTGTCCTGTATGGATGTGTGAGGCCTCTTCTTTTACAGGATCAACAGATGGGCAGTGAGTAAGGGAGAGTTCTGTGCTGCCTTTCAACTGAATATTTTGACTGAGTTTCCACTGAGAGAAGATCTCTTTGCATTGTAATTTGGCTGGATTATGCAAGACTGTGTCACCTGATAAAGGAGAAGTAGGGGACCTACTGCAGTACACAGAAGTCGGGCTTGCTTGAGAAGATGTGCTAGGGCTGACATGTTGAGGACTACGGCTCAGTATGGTACACTGCTCCTCTTCCTCCTCATCTGGATCTCTGATAGCAGTGTGTCTCATGAGGAGACATTTTCTTCTTTCCCTCCAGCCAACTGCAGAGCGCTCAGGGGACAGACAACTATAGTCAAAAGACTTACTGCGGGTCTCAGCCATTAGGACACTTGGTTGTGGGTCATGAGGCGCCTGCTCTGATGCTGAGCGCCTCATCTCCCTATGCTGATGAACCCCAGGCACTGTCAACATGTGAGGAGCTCTCGATCTCCGCAGTGGTGTTGCTATCTCCATGTCTGGTCTATTTGACTCTTCAAAGGATGTGGAACGACTGGATGCATAAGATGTACTACTATCCTGACTAGGGCTGCGGGGGAGGGATATAGAGTCAAAACTGGATTCACCGGACGACTGGGCAACCTCGGCTAGACGTAAGCGCTTCTTCTTTGGAGGAAGCTTTTCAATAGGAAGCTGGGCCAGAGAGGGGCTTCTCTGTGGCCACTGAAATTCATCAGGTTTCTCTGAATGTTTTGCTGTGGATGCTGGCTCTACTCCGGTCCCTGTGCTCATGTTGGAATCCTCTGTGACCAGTATTTCTGGAACCAGCACATTGTGTTGGCGGACCAGCTTCCGGTTTGTTAGTTTTGCCGACTGTTGTTGGGGCTGTTTCTGAGGCACCAGTTGATATTCTTCATGAGGCGGAGAGTTTTTTGTTGCCTCAGTGCCTTGATTCTCATTGCACAAAGATTCCTGTTTTTCAAATGAACTAGTATGCTGAATTACTGAACAGGTTTGCAGTGTAGGTCTTCTGGGGCTGTCATAGACTACATTGCTTTCATCTTTACACTGTCCTGAAAAGAGGTCAGGAGAGGGTAATGAAGGAGAAGAGGGGTCATCAAATTCAAAGCTCTCTTCTTTTCTTCTCTTGCGCATTGCTGAAGCTCCTGCTCTGACTGCATGGTTAATTAACTGTGAGCTCTCCATTTGACTAATTACCACCTCATTTCTGGGATGATGTGCTAAGCACAGGCTTTGCTTGTGTTTCTTATAACCTTCCCAATCTTTGCATCCAGTGCCACAGGCCTCACACTCATATGGCTGCGGTTGACTTTGCTTGTGGTCAGGCACAGTGGTTACGCTGTCAGGGTAAAATGAATGAGAACCCTCTTGCTCCTCTTTTGTAAGTTCAGCACCAGGTGGGATTTCAATAGCTGGCTGCCGTCTTAGCATCCCATAGCGACGGGATGCCTGCCTTTCAGAAGGCGGTCGTTCATCAAAGGACTGACTTAAGCGGAACTTACTGGGGCCACCACTGGAGGTGTCAGATGCAGATGGCATAGAGTGACTTCTAACCAGAGGGGCTGATGTTTGGCCAGCTGGTTGCTCCACATTTAGGGGTGGATGATGAAATTTTTCACATGGGACTCCCATGGTGATGGAGCCACTGTTTTTATAGCCCAGATCTCCAGCTTTAGGGCTATGAATAAGCGGTTCTTTCATAGATGAACTCTTTTGAGACTCTGAACTATTCTTTCTGGAGAGCGAAAATCTCCTTGGTTTTACACTGTCAATTTTACTGGTGTCAACCACTGCCTCGTTGATAGTGATGAGTTTGGTGATATGGTCAATGACTTGCTTTTTGGGGACTGTGAATGGGATGGTTTTGTCCTCTGGACCAGAGGGCTGCTGGTTATGGTGCCGAGGCATCCTCTGCAGGTGTCCGAGGCGTCCATACTTGCCGAGGATGATCTCTGCATAGCTTTTGGCACTTGTGTTTGGGGGGCTGTCCTGTGGCTGCTCAGTACTTTCAGAGCGAGAGAAATAGCCAGATTCTGTGCTGCCTTTACTCCCTAAAATTAGAGATGAGGCCCTTTCATCAGATGAGTCTCGGGGACCATGTTTTCCTCTACTTAGACGCAGGGCCAGTCTTTTTTTCACTGCGTAAGAGTCATCCTTTCCTCCAGTGCAATCTTTGGCCCTATCTGTTTCATGACTCTTGATTGAGGCCACACTGCTTTGTCTTTCTGTGTGAGAAGATGCTGATGATAACTGTCTGGTTTCATCCTCTGACTCAGTGACTTGTTCCTCTAAAGATCTCGGCTCTGCAAGTGCCAGACCTGCCTTCACCCTGTGTGTATGCGATTTGCGGTGTTTGTACAGGTTACTCTTGGTCTTAAAAGAGAAGCCACATGGGGCACAGGGATAGGGTCTTTCACCTGTGTGCGAGCGAATATGTTTCTGTAGAACACTAGGCTTTGCACATGCACGGCCACAGTAAGTGCAGACATATTTGCCTGGTCTCTGAGGCTTACGCTCACGTTTCTGTTTTGGGGTCCCCTCCTGGGTTTCTGGTTTAGACTTGGTGGGGCCACCTGCTGAGGAAGCTGAGACTCCTGGTGACAAACTAGCTTTTGTTGCGTCATGTTTCTGTTCCAGCGCAGTATCCGAGTCGATGCTCTGCCGCTGGTGCCTGAGACGTTTACGTTCAGGATGCTGTCTTCTGGACTGTTTTGGTTGCTGTAGTGTGCCATGGGGCTTCGGGGAGCCAGTTTCCGGTTGCTCACAGGGCTGGGAGGGAGACTCAGGCTGCGGGCCTCGATGATGAGACTCTGGTTGACAATGCTCTTGACCTCCGGACTGCTCCCCAGTCGTCAGGGAACTATGCAAGGCCTCCATAAAATGGAAGGACAGCCTCAGGTAGACAAGTGTGATGTGTCTGCCTGTGCCAGGCTACAGAGTTCAAGCCAAATCATTAACTGGATAATGGGTGTAATGTGAGTGAATTCTATCAAATTATATCCACTGTAGTAGACTGTCACGCTTCATATTTTTCACTTGTTTTGCTTAAACTCTATTGCTTGACAGCAGAATGATGCCATCAAATGTAGAACAGTGGCATCAAAGAATGCAGCTGTAATATGTTGTGTGCTGTGGAGGAAGTCCTCTGCCATGCTGACCTAAAATATCCCATCATGAAGCACTCAGCCAGTCCTGCTGCCACACACTCTGATGCTCAGTTGACTCAGTTGAATATGTGATTCTTCTGTCTTCTCAACATAAAGATCTGTAAACACAAACATCTCATTATATAGAATAGTGCATATAATTCAAAAAGACACAGATAAGCCTCCGACCCTTGGCTAACCAAATATGGATATTTATGTTTCATGTGTTACATAATCACTGTATGTGTCATAGCATTCAGCTTTCACTTTCCCCTGGCTGAATCCTTTTAAATTAGAATAGTTTATGTAATATTTCTGTACAGAAATGCATGCAGCAAGTAAAAATGATGATGCTGCTAACGTTCCCAGAGAGGCAATATGTCCAATGGCTGCGACAGGAACATTCCAATAACAGCATAATCTGAATTTGTCATGGTCTTCAATGATTTCTAATCAACCATGCATTACTTATTTCAAAACCTAGGACCACAATATCTTGCTGTCGGACGGAATTATGCATCCCACCCACTCCCATTAAAATGAGTCAGATCTTCCCGCTGCAAGACAGAGCAAAAGAAATGATACCCAATGAAGAGTTTACCAATTTCACAAGGAAATACCAGATCCTCCTAGTTGAGGATGGGGGGAGTTACTCATATTAAAATGTGTTGCCATACAAGCACCTTTTTCTTTTTTGGTGTTAATGAAATTGCTTTGCTTGAATATTTCTTTGCATAATTAATTACACTGGGATTAACTAAGCGACTATGGCATGTGAACCCGGTAGAGTGTCTCAATGTGCTCTAATTAATGCTGCATTTTTGACATGTTGTGTCGTCCAGTATCAGGCCATGCTTGCTTCAAAATCATGATCATCAGACAATGCTACAGCACAATATTGCTGCATTTAGAGCACTTGTGAATGACACTGCCTCATTACTTTACAGCATATGGATAACTGTATTTGATTTACTGTGATTTTAGATACTTGCAAAGGCCAAGCAAGAGAAGGCAAGGGATGGCTGTGAGCTCTGAGTGCATACACAAGGCAACTCAGTGGAGATACTGAAGAAAACTCCCAGTGTTTTTTTGTGCCAGCATACTGAAACAGTAAACAAGGCATCCCACGCACTGACCAGCTGGTTTCTACACCCACGTTCTGGTGGAAGACGGCAAAGCTGCTGGATTGTATCCAAATTACTGATAACAGGTTGATAGCCATCTTTGGTTTAACTTGTGGGAGTATATGCCAGTATTGGATGAATATTAAACCAACATTACTTTTTGTTATAACAAAAAGCAGGCGTACTAAATACAGTAGGTGTATTATATCTGTACTCTGCAGAAGATCATTCAGATGTCCTAGGCCTAAATCTCTTGCAGTGACACTAGTAAGTGGTAAATGTAGGTCAGACAGGTAGTGTAACTGGACTAAACTTTTGGAGGAGAGTCAGAGACTCAGTCGTCTCACTGAAAAAAAAAAAAGAACGCCTCAGAGCTCAGACTGTGAGACCCTGCATACTCTGCACGAGGGTGACGATGACTGGAGTGAAATTAATTTCAGACGCAGCACTTGCAGCACAGAACTGGCACCTAAAAGCAAGTGACATTTTTAAAATCATGTAATACCTCTGCTCATTTACACTTAGACGTGTCACACATGTTCCAGAGCTAACATAAGACTTGTCATTTGCACCTCTCGTGGTGCAAATGAACCTAGCAGGCAAGGTTTTTTTCTTCAACCCTTCTCTCCACACGGATCCTGTTTTCCCCCTGTCCTTGGCTCTCAGCCTCGGTGATTCTCTCTAGGTGAACCGTTGCACGGCTCTGCTAGAAAACACACGTCGAGGTGTAATGTTCTCAGAGTCAGACAGCTGTTTGCTAGGACAAATTACTACATATTTATTACAAACTGAATATCAGTATAGATTTCTGTAGATCTCCTCTTAAAGGGAAACTCCAACTATTGTTGTATACTATTGTACTATTGAGCAATGTTGTTGTAATCTGATAAATTGCCTATAGTCGTCACCTGAGTCAGTGTCTGTTGGGTCTGCAGGTTATACATTTGAAAATGAAATTTTAATACCATTGTGAGTCCGACAGTGTTAGAGGAGTGCAATGCTAAATGGGTGGAAAGCTCTTTATGGACAGCAGATATGATAACTAATAGTTCATAATCTGTAGTTTACACTCACTTGAGGGTGAGAAAGAGAGCAAAGATGGATGATTTAATATTCCATAGCTCTGACCTAACCAAATATAACAGGCATCACTATTATTAACACAACAACAACAAAAACAACAGTTCTGACATTTAAACATACTTTGGCTTTCATAAATCCTTCCAGTCAGGGTGCAAAATATCAAGTTCATGGAACTGGCATACTTTAATGTAATACAGCCATCATTAGTTACTAATCACACCAGGGTTTTCAGGCTAATATCTACCATGATCATTAGCCTATAGCCAGTCTACACAGCCTACAGTAAGACATTAGGCGGGGATATGAGCACTGCTTGCAATAAACTGTATTTACTGCACATTGCAGAAATCTGTAAACGGGCTACTACAGTATATAATAACACAATATAAAAGTCATTTTTTCAGTTTGTCTAATGGTTGCAGTGTACATATTTGCAGTGTGGGCATACACTTACAGTTACAATCTGCAGAGTGTGCTCTAAATCTGCAGGTACTGGCACACATCACCTCCAGTAAAAAAAAAAAAAACCTCTCTTATATAAATTTGTGAAATGCTGCGTCCATTCACACACCACACAGAAAGAGAATATTGTATAAATGGCTTTTTAAAAATCTTGTCAATTTCCTCTTCTCACACTAATGGGCACCCAGCGGTGGTTCCTATGGTAACGGCCCTAAACCATGTGGTAGCAGATGGAAGGAGAGCTGGAGGGCTAAATTTATCTTCCAGCATCCTCACCGACTACACAGAGAGGGAGAGAGCGAGGCAGGCGAAGGTGCCTCCCTCCTAGAAGCTACGGCTTTTTGAGGAGAGAACGGTACACATCTCAAAAAGAAAATCAATACTTTGGGAGTCTTGAATTCATACTACACTGATACTCTTCTCTCTTCTTCTTTCAGGAGGAAGCAGAAAGGAAAATGCATACTGTACATGAGGATGACAAAGAACACTGGACCAATCTCCATGAACTACATTATTCTAAACTATTCAACCCTATTAAACCATTTGTTTGTTTTTTGCTATTAAGCTTTACGTAAAAGGCAATATTTTAAGTAAATAATATGCAGTATTTAAAAGGGAAAATACTACAGATTTATTTGTAAAAAAATGTAATATGTATGTTTCTTGATAAGTGATTTCTAAAATTAGTTTACAACAAAAAACTAAAGGCTTTCAAAGCATCTGGATGTTGAGGAAAAAGTAGTAACTTTATGATGGAACACAATGAAAACAGCACGCTACTTTGGACTTACTTCACCGTCACCCTAAATCATCATCTTGCAGACTCATCTGAACTTAGAAACAAATGCCCTCATCTGTTGTTGTGTTTCCACCACAATGTCAGCTGAGCATTAGCAATGCTGTCAAGTCAGAGAGCGTAGCTTCATCAGCAGCCTGATAGCGGCGCTCTCCAGGGACAGAGGAGAGCCCTCTGAGAGTCGGTGCGTACACAGCCATTCCTGTATGTGTGTGTGTGTGTGTGTGTGTGTGTGTGTGTGTGTGTGTGTGTGTGTGTGTGTGTGTGTGTGTGTGTGTGTGCGTGCATCTCGGGAGTGCTCCCCAGTCCACAGGAGGACATGCCAAGCATAGGAGGTTGGAAGCACAACACAGGGAGCTCATTCACTCCCAGTCTGAGCTGTGAGCTTTAATACATACACAGCCCACGGACCACTCACTATATGCACTCTCCCTCTCCTTCATTCACACACAGACACACAAGCACAAACACCCTCACTGCAGAAGCTGCACTGTCTGCATTTGTTTAAAACAACCCAAAAAATATTCAGCTCATTTTTTAAACATCTCTGTTTGCTCAGAGTATGTTCCCACAAATCACTCGTTTTTTTCCACCACTCACTGGCTCACTGATGAAGCAGGCTTTTGCAACAACAAAGACCTGAATGGAGAACCCCCCCCCCACAACCAAGTCCTCACATCACGTCACTCACATCACATCAAAATCACTGCAGATGACAAAAAGAATATCAATGGGTTGGTTCTCTTTTACCTGGTAGCAGGTGGTGCTGTCCTCCGATTGTGAATGACTGGAGACGGGGAGAGCAGAGAGAGCCAGAGAGAGGTGAGGGGAAGGAGAGAGAGCGAGAGAGAGAGAAAGGATGAATGAGAGTGACGGTGAAGAGAGAGGGGTAATCGAGTCTCCGCTGTACGTGCACTGGGCTGACAAACAGGTAGCTGAGTATATTATGCGTATGAATGAGGAGGAGGGGACACTCTCTCCCTGTCTATCTCCACCTCTTTCATACCCCCCACCCTCCCCTCCAAGTGTCTCTCTTTCAGGTCAAAGTGAAGTAGCAGCTCCTTATTTGGAAGTTGACGTAAGCTTGTGTTTCTTTTGGCAGCGATCTTGGGCTGCACAGCTGGCAAAGCGGTAAGAGGTAGAGGGGCAGGGTGAGTGGTCGGTCTTTTAATTTGACTGGGAGAGGGGTTGGAAGGGGGGTTACTTCATATTTTTAAAACACAGTTTCCCCATTCAGGTCTCATTTTCCTAGCATAGGTGAGAGCTATTGCTTCTGCATTCTGAGAAAACCCTGGAAAATTTGAAAACATATAAGGACCCGCATGGAAAAAAAAAGGGGGGCACAGGGATCCAGTTTTTAAGAGCTGCTCTGGAGAATGTCCACACACCACGGCACAGCGTTCATGCTCCTGCCAGGGGTCCGGCTGAAACGAGTCCAGGCAGCTCTGACGTCACTCTCTGCTCTTTTAAGCCACGGGTTTCCCCCTCCCCTCCGCCGACTGACTTTTTTTCAGCAGCCTGAAAGCTTGCAGACATGTGGAGCATTGAGGGAATACCAGCCGGTGGGATGAAGGCAGGCGGTCAGCCACTCATCTGGCCGGGCGTGAAAAGGGGAAGCTGAGAGGGGGAATGGAAGAGAGCCCGGGATGTCCGTCCTGTACCAGGCAACAGAGGGTCTTTGTGACTAAAGCTCCAAATTTGAAAATGGTATGTGGAAGGCCAGCTCTGATATGGGCATTTCTGGATTAAGGCTGCTGACATACAATTCCATGTCAATAAAGCCTTTTGAAACCGCATTTAGACCAATACCTGACACTAAAAGTAAGCTCTAGATCCGCACTTTGCCATCATCAGTTTGGATATGATTTCAACCTACAACACTACCTTTTCAAATGAACTTAGTACTAAATGTTTTTAAAGCATCTGACATCTGAATTGAGATAGGAAAGGGGGGGGGGGATGAACTGCAACAACAGTAGGTTGAGGTGGAAAAGTGGATTTATCAATGAAACTAAATGCAAAAACAAGTGCAATGGAAATGTATAATGATATACATGAATCATGTGACTTTGTCCAAGTATCCATGGAAACTTCTGCCCCACTGGAGAGGCTAAAAATGGCTGCATATATTAAAGGACCAGTATGTAGGATTTAGTGGCACCTAGCGGCGAAGTTGCAGATTGCAACCATTTGAATACAGCTCAGCCTCCCAGGCTTGTAGGACAAACTACAGTAGCTACTGAAGAAACGGCTCATTCTAAAGTAACAACAACACAATGATTCTTATTTTCAGGTGATTATACACTAATGAAAACATACCTATGAATATTACAGTATATTCCCTTACTGCCAATATCCTCCTAAATGTATTCACAAAACAATAGCAGATAGAAACAGGTATTCATTTTTGCATTTTCATTTCAGGAATTCCGTTCAAAATTTGTAATACATTTTGACTGAAACCTTGTTACCGGCCAAGAAAACGCTATACACATCAAAATGGCATTTCCATGGCTGAAAACTGTTCTGAACTCTTCCTTCAATATCCTGTGTTCAGTGCTAAAGTGCATTTGAGGTCTAAGGACGCTCTAACGCTGCATTCATACCAGTTTGAAAGAATGGGAAAACTTCCCATTTGATCCCACTGCTAGCCCTGTGGTCATACCAGATAAATGGAATTAAACCTAAATTGGCTACTTTTGTCATGTTACCGACCTGCAGTGGTTTGTTAGCAAGTGGAAACAGATCCTAATAAACAGTGTTAGGATCCATTTGAATTAACTTAATTAACTGTCAGTGTTAATAATAGGTTTTACTTGGATGTCACTGATGGAGGCTTTGTAGCCACTTTGCCACTTAAAATATTGTAGCTATCAGAAATTCCTGATATTTCCGACTCGGAATTACAACATAGGAGGCTGATGTGAATGTTTTTCCCAGTCTGCATGATAGGACATAAAGGCACCATGCACTATCCATCTTCAGAGCCGCAGCCAACACAACAACCGGCTGTGGCTAATATTCTAGCAAGCGACAGTAAGATTTGTGTCAGAGCAAGTGTTCCCCCATTAGTTACAGTTAGCAGCTAATGTTACACTAGCTACTTTTAGCAACCACAGCTAATTAAATGACATGCTGACCCTATAGAAGACGGGCTTTTCTTGCATGACAAATATCCAAAACAATATAAATTACAACACAGGACAAGTGAACAATGGCTACTTTGTGTTGCAGGTGGAAACAGCAATGCCCCCATATGTGTTAGTAACATTATTTTGTCAACGTCTACCGCCCTTCCTGTGTGGCTGCATCTGCAAGCCAGTTCTTGGTGCTCATCAAACCCCCGGGAATTGCACCGAGTTATGAAGCCAATTTGACATAGTGGCTAGGCCGTGTAATTACAACTTCTGGGTCCATCACAGGATGCACACCGGCCCAAAAACACTTTTTTTCGGCACACAAACATTGGAAAAGAAGAGGCTGTAAACGGCAGATCAATTTGAGTGTCACAACGGCCACAAGATGACTCGTTTCATTATTAGAATTTGATCCATTATTTTTTATTTGGAAAGTCTAGAAGAGCCGGATGACTATCCCCATTCAAGTTAGCGGAGTGCATATAGAGCATGCGCAAAACACATTAATCTGGGAGCAACTTTTATAGGAATGAACGGAGCCCTGCCTCTACTTGCTGTATCCAGTTCTCTTTATACATCCATGGTGCTAATGGCTGAAAAGATAAACCTGAATGGAAAAATAAACGCCAGATCTCTATTGCCTGCCTGATAGCTTCTCATGTTTCTACTAGAGCTGCACAATATGGCAAAAGTATCATATTGCCATTGTTTTCACAGGTACTGCATTTGCAATATGATTCAGGATTTGAGTGGGAAGTATCAAATTAAAATCATGATATTGTTACATTGTGTGTTACAGTCTGTACCAAGCAAACATGTTTTCTTCAATCTGCAGAACAAGATTTGTTGGCCAGATTCTCTTCAACACTATAGTACTTATATTATAATGTTGTCTTGTCATATTTCACCTTCATCATACAAAGTGCAGGCTGTGATTTGCATATTGCACCTGACAGTATTGCATTTTTTTTATTGTTTGTAACTATGTCAATAATACTGTCCATTAGGGGTGTAAGAAACATTGGAAAATATTGTACCGCGATATTTGGTTTTGTGATATTGTGATCTTTTTTGTGTATTGTGTCTTAAACGAAGCGACTGTGAGAAATACAAATGCAGAGCGCACCGTTCTGGTTGCATAATGGTGGTGTGCTTTTATACAATGACAGTTTTCCTTCAGTTTTTTTTTAAATATATTACTTTGTTTACAGTATCGTAATATATAGCAATGAATTGAATCGTAACCCCTGTATCAGATACGTATCATGTTGCCAGATAAACAGCCCTTCTGTCTATTACGGAAAACTGGCGCTTGATCTGTCATAACTTACCAAATCACATCCCTGCCGGGATCTCAAGAAGCAGCCAGTGTCGCAACGCACAACTGACTGTATTTCACCGCAGGTGTTTGGGATTAGTTTAAGTGTTCAACATTTTCCTTTGGTATGGTCTAAGCCTATTGCATTTTGCTTGAAAAATAATAACTCATTAATGCATTATCAAGATAGGTGCAGGTTATTCTTCTGTTGATTGGCTAATGAATAATTCAACTAATTATTGTAGCTTTAATATACTAAAGTTTAGTTTGTTCTGGATTATTGTACAAAATACTTTAGCTCTACCTATTACTAAACTATTTACTTACATGATAGGATGCATAGTTTGTTCCTTATCTAGACTTAAACACTGGCCTGTAGTAAGAGCTGACTGCAGTCAACATGGTGAACTCAGCACAGCTCTGTGGTATAGTCTGTGGTATAGTCGTATATGTTGCAGACTCCGTTCCTGGTGGCCACGGGCTGAATTAGTCCTCAATAGTTTGTCCAAAAATACGATAGTTCTGCATTATATAATTATTTGGGTTTTGGCAACACCTGGCAACTCTGCTTCCCACTACATGTGGCAAAATCTTCCCACACTGGATTTGACTGTCTGTTCTAACATTTGATACAAGAACAAATATAAACATGGTGTAGAAAGAAACCCATCATATCGGAGGCAGGGTTGGGTATTGAAAACCTGCTCTGAATTTGAACTGGTTCTTTATTTATAAAACTAACTAAAAACATTTTTGTTCTGCTTCCTGAATCCTGAATCCTTACTCTAATCCTTACTGTTAATCCTATTCAATATTGAATCTGGGACTAACAGCACTTCTGTCTGTGTATATAATCGCTAATAGATGCATCAACACGGATGGTCTTAGCTGGTTTAAGTGGCCTGAATAAGTGAAACAGAAAAATGTAATTACTGCAATAAAATAATTGAATGCAAACGGCAGAACGAACACTTTGGATCCCGGTTGTTCAAAGCAATGACATTTAATTTTTGCATGGCAAGATAGAGTATATTTTTGTTATTTCCAGTTATTTTTACAAATGACATCTATAAAACCTTGCCATTTATGACAAATGAATGTTTATTCAGGCTCAAATCTGCTGAAAATAAAGGTGGTTTTTGCTTTCAATATATTTTGGTTTGTTGTTGTATTATTTAAGTATGACACGAAGACTAATATTGGCTCAGTAAATCGGTCTTACTCCACTTGTCAGCCTTTTGGAGGTGACAGAGCTGCCAGTGTCGAGCTCTTTCACAGGGGAGGGTTGCCTCTGTGCAGCTGGGGCTTGTCTGGATGGCCTTGTCACAGTGT